GGTTAAGGGTTGTAAAAATTATTTTTCTTTTTTATGGGGGTGGAAGGAAAAAATTAATATATATTTAATATTATGTATTAATATTTTGTTTATATTATATATTTAATTTGATTTATATATATTATTATTATTATTATATTTATATTATATAATTATATTTATATAATTTGTATGTAATATAAAAAAGTATTTATATAAATATTTATATAATCTTAATATTTTTTTTTTTTTATGTAAATTCATTTCTACACGTTAAATTTTACAATTACAATTGAAACACGTGTTTTATATGAAAAATAAAACACTGATAAAAAAAAAAAATAGATAAAAATGGCAAAACAAACGTTTCAAATTTGCATTAAACAAAAATATTCCATTTTTATTTTTTTTTTTTTTTTTTTTTTTTTTATACGAGAATCGAAAAGGTAAAGATTTATTCGTTGCTTTTACATTAAATAATAATGTCGATCCAAGAAAACGTTTCTTTTTTTAGATACATTGATGTAATATGTATAAGTACACACATATATATATATATATTATATGTATATATGCAGTTGAAGATTGTGTAAGCTCAACGAATACACCGTTTCACAGTTTTCCCTATTTACCCCGGATGTTCGAACGAGATATGAAAATTTCATGAGAAATTTTTATGCTCTTTTCCTTCACTCGCGATGTATCTCAGATTTTTCTTCTCTGTGAATAAAAAGAAGATACGTAAAAAGATATTATACGTAAAAAAGAAGATAGAAAGGGTGAAGATAATTTTTTTCTTTCTTTCTTTCTTTCTTTCTTTCTTTGACCCCCAAATTGTAATTCAGTTGTACACCATTTTTAACCCTTTGTTTTTTTTTTAAATTTTATTTTTTTATTTCCTTCCAATTGCGATTCAATTATCGAATCTCGAGTTAGAATTCCTTGATCTAATTCTTCTTTTTTATTTTTTGACGATAACATTCCTTTGTTCCTTTTTTTTTTTTTTTTTATGAGAACATCTTAAAGGTTTCATTTTTATCCTGGCATTTATCCAAAAAAAAAAAGAAAAAACAAAAAACGTGTATCATATAAGTCACGTGAATTTTTACCGCTTCATCGTGATTCTTACCTTTCTCTCGTTTTTCATTAAAACTCAAAAAAAATTCTGATATCAATTCCGTAACATGAAAAATGTCTTCTACGAACTCAATGTTAGATGTAATCTTTATCGTATAATTTAAAAGTTTATCGAATTGTCAAACAAACAAACAAACAAATGAAAATTCTATACCCAACGACATCCGGTTTTGGTTCGTTGATCCATGATCGATAAGGATCACATCACGATCGTGTAGAAATATTAAACTTTGTTATATTCAAATATTCTTATCTTGGTTTTTGGTTCAAACAATAAGGTAATCAAATCTTGGTTTCTTTTTTTTCTGTTTTTTGTTTTGTTTTTTTTTTTTCGTAGACCATTGTAAATAAATTTGAAATTCTTGCTGAATCAAGAGCGACCAACTTTAAATATTTATATCTACGTACGAATCGTATAAATAGCATTTGTAGGTTGGCCCATCGATTCGAAGGAGACACGCACGCACGCACGTATACACGCAAAACACGTGACTTACAAATCTTGAGAATTCGTAATTTAAGGTGGTCCTGTTACTTTGGAAAAATATTTTTATTATAGTACATTTAACAAATAGAATTTAAATAATAGTAATAATAATCTAATGGTGGACACATTCATTTAATAATAACTTAAAAAATTATTTTAATATCAAGGATACACGCACACACTCTGCACGCACACATACACGCATAACACGTGATTTACAAATCTTGAGAATTCGTAATTTTAGGTGGTCCTGTTACTTTGGAAAAATATTTTTATTATAGTACATTTAATAAAAAAGAATTTTAATAATGATAATAAATATTATATTATATTTTATTATTATATAAATAATAATTATATAATTCTATAAATAATAGTAATATATATATATATATATACTAAATAATAATTTAGTGTTAGATACTTTCATTTAATAATTAAAATAATTATTTTAATATTTTAATACACCCTACTTATATTACAACAAAATTTGACCCTCGTAGTCATTACTACGTAGTAGCATCAAAATAATTACATTAAAATGAAAAAAATACTAAAATCAGATCGTTATAATGTTAAATACACTTTATTAGATAATTTTATTAATTTATCATTTATTATTAAATTATTATATAAATATTAATTATATAATAATAATAAAATTATTAAAAATAATAATTATATAAATAATAGTAATATACATATATATATACTATAATAATTTAGTGTGATAGACACTCTCATTTAACAATTAAAATAATTATTTTAATATTCTAATACACCCTACTTACATTACAGTAAAATTTGACTCTCGTAGTCATCACTGTGTAGTAGTATCAAAATAATTACATTAAAATGAAAGAAAATACTAAAATCAGATCGTTATAATATTAAATACTCTTTATTAGAATTATTATTACCGTTGAACACATGTGCGACATTCGAAAAGTCATATAAACAACATTGAATAAAAGAATATTCACTGATGACAACGTATCAGTTTGAAGGTGAATTTCGAAGAGGTCGGTACTCCGAACCTATACACGGTAATTTTAAACATCAATACACATTCATTTCATTTAATTAACAATTATTTGAATATTCTAATACATTCTATTTATATTACAGCACAATTTAAACCTTAAAATCATCATATAATTAAATTATAATTTAAAAAACAAAAATGCTAAAATCAGATCATAACCTCATTCATCATAAAATTATTTCTTTTTTATATACGCATGCGCAACGTTAGAAAAGTCATATAAACGGCATTTAATGTTGAAGTGTTCTCTTAATTAGACTTTCAAGTGGTAGTAGAAATGAGAAGAAAAGATCGTTGAGAAAGGCAGAAAGGTAGCAGAGAGGCGTTGTTGAGAGAGGAAGAGAGGAGAGCCCAAGCTCTCTCACCATCATAGTTGTCGTCGTCGTCGTAGTCGCCATTACTCTTATCCTAATGCTAATTGTTATCGCGGTATGTCGTTGCACAAGTGTAATTACCGCGTCGTTAGAGTAGTTACGTTTTCAGGGGTCGCGGACACGCGCACACGATATTTTATAAGTTGGCCTCCGGGGCCTTATTTTTTTTTTTTTTTACAGACAAACTCTTTCCATGTGGGTTTGCAACATGTACTTCATTTCAATCTCTTTCTTACACTTATACACGCATACGAATACAGTTGACTGCATACACTAATTACTTATAGCAATACTCATTATCTTCTTAGTGATCTGTACAAATAAGAAAATAATTGATACGAATTATTAACATTTATCATTTACAATTAAATATTTTATATTGAACTAATTTTTAGTTTTAGTTTTAGGTTTTTTTATAATGTAATAATAATTTTTTATTTCATGTATAAGAGTATACACACAAATATGTGTATCTTGTCATTATCAAATTTAGTATTTTTCACTATAACATATTTCAATTAAGGTTTTATTTTACATATCATAGTTTCTACATTTATTGCTTTTTCTATTGATGAATTTTTAGTTTTAGTTTTTTTTTTTTATAATATAATAATAATAATTTCAAATTTAATGTAAAAAAATATACACTAATAATTGATATGTGTTAATATAACACCATGTGAATTTTGCCATTATCAAATGTAGCATTTTTATTTTAAATATAACATATTCTAATTAAAGTTTTATTTTATATATCGTTGCTCTGATTTTAATTGGTAATATTAATTATTACATATTGCAAAATTCGTATGTATAAAAAATAAAAAAAAAATAAATTATCTATCAACTTATCGTTTTAAAATACATTTGCAATAAAAAAAATGCACTTATCAGTAGAAATATTATTTTTAACGATGACTTCAAAAACATACTCTCTCTCACACACACACACACACACACATATATATATATATTTCTAACATATGTTTATAGATGCAATATATTTATATTTGTATTACGATTGAGACTTTTCTAGTCGACGAAGCAAATCGATCACATTTGCCATAGACGATTGTTCAAAAGCAAATATCCGAGACTAATCGAATCGAGTAATAATACAACGACATATATTATCAATGACAATTCAAACATATATTATATGAGATCCAATTATTTCAAGGATGCAAGTGTTACTTCATCTTTTTCTTCTTCATCTTCTTCTTCTTTTTCTTTTTCTTCTTTTACCGGAACACACAAGCCTCTGGCATAAGATTCTAAAAAATATCTAACAACGTATATTTCAATACGGTCACCGGTTGTGCTTACTGTTTTACATGCTGTAATTACGCTCAAGGAATAAGAAGAAAGATAAACAGATAATACAAAAAAATAATAATAATAATAAAAGTAGAACACTCGTCTATACAAATACACATGTATTAGATATACATATACATATACATATACATATACATATATATAGATATATATATATATACTTGTGTGTTATTTCTATTTACAATCGACAAGAGAACATTTTCCGTAATCAGCACCTGCGCATTTACTGCTACCTACTACTGTAAATAATGTAATATACATATATTATGATATTGAAACACGCGTGTTAAACTAGTATCTATTCGAACGTTGGTTAGGTAGTTTCAAGTTCGAAATGATTTCAATTAATTAGTTAAATGCGTTCGACGTGTATACACGTCGTTGCGTATGTTTTTAATTCCGCACCCTGTGAGTGATCTTTTGAAACTAAATTCCACAGTCAACTGATTAAATGAAATCGAGAATTGAGACATCATTTGATTACAATGATAACAAGTGAAACTATTATTTTTGTTAATTTTATCAAAAATAATCGCATTTACCATGAATATTCAAATGGAAATCATTTTATTAAATTATTAATAATTTAATACGACTTCAATATGAATTTTATGTTTGTTTGTGTCTGTTGGATTACCAGGGTGCGCGTTTCCGGGACACCTCGCAACAAATACATAAACAATGGCAAGCTGATCCAGCTCGTGCATTTCCAACAGTTGGCAGTGTTACTACCAACGTTGGTAGTGGTGGTGGTGGTGGTGGTGGTGGTTCCCCGTCTCCAGCATCGGGTGACATTTCAACACCAAATTCAACACCGAGTCCTAGCCCTAGTCCGACCAATGGTCAACTAGTAATGGTAAGTTTTTTCTTTGTTCTTTTTTTTTAATTAACACGTTCTGTGCCAAGCCCTTTTTAGCTGACTTATCATTTAGGCCATTTAATTTTACTTTAAAAGAATCAACTATTACATGTTATTATTAATTATTGTAAATATAACAATTAAACAAAGTTATGTGCTTTGTTTTATACTGCATTTTGTATAATGCATCCAATATTTTAATAAAAATATTCTTTTAGAATAGAACCAGTTTAACGTGTACCACCGGTGGTACACGTGGCATAGAACGTGTTAACCTAAATTCTATCATTTCTTTTTTACAGCTCGATCAAACGATATTTTAATGATGAATAATTTATTATTTGTTTTTTTTTTATTGTATATTTATTATATTGTATTATTATTATTATTTAAATGTATATTAAAAATATTATTATTTATATTATTTATATAATTATTAAATTATATATATATATAATTTATATTATTATTTAATATTTTTAATATACATTTTTGTTTTGAATCAACGTGAACACTTTTTAGGTAACCCCAATAATAATTTTTATTACGAAGAATAATATTCTTTCGAAAGTTTTATCTAATTAGTAAACAAATTGTCTCTCAGTAATTAATGCGTCCTGTTATCGTTATCTAATTTACATATATGTATATATGTGTGTGTGTGTGTGTGTAATTATGTATAAGATATAGATAGATACGAGAATTTATTATATAAGATGATATATTTTTTTTTCTACATTTTGTTTTATCAACCAATTCGAAAAATACCAGTTGTTCTTATTTTCTATTTAATTTTTTCTTTTTTTGTTCTGTCTGTAAATTTTATTTTACCCAAGTGTGAGAAAATGGTTTTCTCTTCTCTTGTGTAAACGGTAAAACATCTTCTTTTTCATCTTCTTCTTCTTCTTCTTCTTCTTCTTCTTCTTAACCATTTTTATCTTTTCTCTCATTCCATTTCTTTCTTTCTTTCTTTCTTTCTTTATCAAGTTAGAATGATATTCACGAAGAATATGAAGTAACGTGAAACGACGACTAAAATGGCTAACCCAGAGAAGAAAGTATTATGAATTGAGGCAGATGGCGTAGATATTATCTCAATCCTCCTTCTCGTTGTTAGATGAAAAGAAAGAAAGAAAGAAAGAAAGAACGAACGAACGTTTTCTACTTCGTGTTCCTTCTTTTATATTCTCTTTCTCTATTCCATCTTATATCTTTTTCTTAACGGTCAGTAGTAAGGTCAGAAAAGTAACGTATGATAAATCACGGTTGAGTCACTCACTCAAAAAAAAAAAAAACGAAATTATAGTGGCTAGATATTTTATTTTTCTATTTTTTATTTTTAATTAACCCTTTGGTTACATTTGACGTATTAGTACGTCATGCATTTGTTTGGGCAAAGATGCACATGACGTTCTAATATGTCATTGAAACTAAAATGAGATTTAATTGGTTCATTTCGGTTTATTTCAAAATATAATATAAAAATAATTTTTATATATTATTATAATTATTATTATATATTAATTATCATAATAATATAAATTATTTTATTTTCAAATAAATGTGTAACCTAAGGGTTGTTAATAGTAAATTTTATCATTATGCCTATTATTATCGCGTTTATCCAACCACCTATAATATACACACACCTATAAAATATATCTTCTCATTAATACGATAGAAAAATAGAACAAATTAGTGATATCTATAGATTCTACCTATTTGAAAATGGCAAATATCAGAGAAACGAGAAAAAAAATTAAAAAGAGAGAGAGAGAATGAGAAAGAATAGAAAATAGAAAAAAATAAATCTATGTGAGTTTCCAATAGAAAACCAAACGGATTCTGAAATTCTCTCGGGGATGGTAGTGGGAGTGGCAGTGGCACTGTGAGTAAGAGTAAGAGGGGGGGGGATGGAAAAATACCGATGAAGCCTGCGCTGCTGAATTTTGCGTCCATGTAGGTCAGGGGTGATAGTCATCCACACACAAACATCATACCCATACATTCAAACACACATTCAAACACATATATATATAGTCATACAAGGGTATATATTCTCATGCATCTTCAGCAACGTAACTCACATCAGAGTTAGGAACACAAGCAAGGGAACTAAACCTATTGTTTCCCTAAAGGCAAAGACTATCGGTATGCAAGTGGTACATCCAATTGAATCTCGTTCCTAGGGTGGCAACCCATCTCGTCATCGACGATGAGAACAACGATGACTATGACGACGTACTAGACGAGAACTCAGAGCCTCCGGGCTTCAAACACGAAACTTGATGTTGTTACTACTCCCCTATAACCTGTTACTGTTATTTTCCTTCTGTTGTTACTGTTACTGCTGTTGGTAGTGCTGTTGTTGTGCTGATGTAACTGCTGTGTTCCCTTTTGTACTATCAATAGTGACGAATAAGACGACTTGGGAGCTTCGATTCTAGGTCAACTGTCACTAATGAGAACCTATCGAGCATATAGAAACCAGGATACTAAAACCCAACCCTCCTCCTAAAACTCCCCCTATCCCAACCCTTCTTTACTATTTTCTTCTTCTATGTTTCTATACGAACGTTCCGACAAATCCAATAATTTACCTTTATTCCTTCCTTCCTTCCTTCCTTCCTTCCTTATTCTTAGTTCAATGAACGATCTAATTAATTTTGGTGGATAAACTTTTCATGTTAATTATTGTGATTAATTATCTTAGAGTGTTATGAACGCATATATGCGTTTGGTAAAAATTACCAAAGTGGTCTATGTATTTAATGTTTATACTAATTAATTAAATTATATTCAAGAACAAAAGCTTGAATTATTAAATATAATTTATAATTAAAATTTGGTTGAAAGTATTCAGCATTCAAAGGGTTAAATATCAATTATGATAAATTTCGTCTTTCTTTTGATCTCACCTGGATTTTTTTTTTTTTTTTTTTTTTCGTTATATTAGCGTTGTGGTGTTGGTTCATTGAAATTATTTTGAAAGAAAAAAGAACAAAAGAACAAAAAAAAAAAAATAACAAACCAAACTGAAAGTTGTATACATCGCATAGAACTTTGTACATTACAAAATGGAAGAACTTTTGAATAATGAATTGTGCATTTATTAATCGTTCGTTTAACATATTCTTTCTTTTTTATGTTTATATTAATTATAGTTGTGTATATACATATGTGTATGTATTTTAATAATATTTTTTGAAAAAAAATTCTACCCAATCAAGTTTAACGAGATTGGATGACTCAAGTGATATATGGTAGTATATTTCTGTCGACGTCAACAGGATTATTCTATGACATCATCGATTTGTATAATTTCGCTGATGTGAAAGACAACGCACGATGATTCCAACCGAGTTTCTCTTTCTTTTTTTCTTCTCATATTTTTTTATTTTGCACAACGTCGACCTAATTAAGCAATTATGACTACTACTACTATTACTACTACGTTGGATAACCTCGTGACTCGGATTAAGTTGACCTTGGGTTGACAACATACGCTAGCTCGTTAAAATATTTACTGTAAAGATAAACTAAAGATTAATTCATATTTTGCAATTGTAACATTTTATAAATACATTTCATTTATTTGATTAATATAAGATGAATATTTTTAATATAGGTTATTGTTTAATTAAATAAAATACAAATAAAAATAGAATAAGAAGATAAAGAATGAGGAAGGAAAGATGATGCCTTGTTTAATCCGAGTCCACGTAGATAGAAGACCCAGTCTACAGGTCATCGTCTCTATTCTAATTACGTTACACACACTAATGTAAATCTTATAACGAACTATATACATACATGCATACGTACATGTATATAAACGTTTGCCAAGAAGTTAGAAACTTAAGTTACCTCTACCTCTATTCTCCCGATTGCGTAGGTCTTCTTCTCAGGAGTACTCAGCAGCCTCAGTTTACCGGGTCATGATTAATCTTCCGACATTTTGTTTTTTCTTTTTTGCTAGTTATAAGTATACTTAACTATATGTACCTATATATAGTTTCTTCGTTCATTTCGTATAAGTTAATTAACTCAACGGGTGGTACATACATAGTTCGTCTTTCTATGATAAAACAACAAAATAATATTGTATTTTGTAATTATCATCTATTATTTTTTTTTTTTTTTTTCATAATAATAATTAATGTTTGATAGATCGTGTAATTGTAATAGATTTGTAATCTTTCAATGATCGATTAAAAATATTTCATCGTTTTAGAAATATGTATAGATGTGTATGTGTATGATATATCAAATACATTGGTGAAAGATGGAATTTTAGGGTTTATATTCTTACACATTAATATTTGTGGATATACTCAAAGTTATAAAATATATTATTATTATTATTAAAAATATATATAAATATTAAATTAATATATTAATAATATTTATAATATTTTTATAATAATTATTATTTATATTATTATTTATTATTATATTATTTTATTTATTATATATATTATTATATATTATATAAATTTATTTATATTATATATATAATTATATAATAAATATATATATAATATATTTATAATAATTATTATATATATATATATATAATATTATATTAATATAATTATTATTTTAGTTTAAAATTTTATTATAGTATATTAGTATTTATTAATTAAATAAATTAAATTAGAATTGAATAATTATATATAATATATTTATATATAATATAATAAATATATAATATAAATATTATATTAATATAATTAATAATATAATAAATATTAATAAAATTTATGATATAAATATATATTTATATAATAATAATAATAATACATATATATATTATAAGTATATAATAAATTATAAATAATATATTATATATACTTAAATATAGATTATTATAGTAATAATATTATACATATATAACTATACATATAACCATATACATATACATATAACCATACATACATATATATAAGGTTATCAGATTTTAAGGGTGGTGCGTTGGGAATCGAATTGCAAAGATG